ATTAAAAATGTTGTTAGCTTTTCAATTTTTTTAAATTTAATTAATTTCACTTTTTGCTTATTTGCTTAAATTACGTCAATTAGCATCCTGCATAATTTACCTAGACTTTTCAGTTAGCCTCATGAATATAAAGTCCATTTGTATATATATATATATATATATATATATATATATATATATATATATATATATATATATATATATATATATGTGTGTGTGTGTGTGTGTGTGTATGTATATATATATATATACTCTCTCGTCGTATATGTTTATATATATACTCTCGTCGTATATATATGTATATATATATATACTCTCTCGTCATATGTGTATATATATATACTCTCTCGTCGTATGAGGGTCAAGCAGGTCAGTTCGTAGGAACCGACAGTCCAGACACAAGCACATATGATCTGATTATAGTGGTGAAGACTTTGTGCAGAACCAGCCACACTTTTGAAGTGTCGAATACAGAAACCTGGTGCACTACGTGCCGCAAGGTCCTCGCAGATTTCGAATTCAGATTTATCCTTCACTTAGACCAGTTGCCATCCAAGGCTATAGAACCCAGTCTGTCCTGCTATTTACCCATAGTTGGAGGAAGAAGAGGAGGATTAATACCTTTCGCAAGGGTATTAGCACATAAGTGAATGTAATGGATTCGACTGGAATTCGAACTCGGCTCTCCGAACCATATATATATATATATATATATATATATATATATATATATATATATATATATATATATATATATTTTAGGGAATTTAACATATATTGTCGACATGGAAAAAAAAATAATAATAATAATCCCTTACTATAAAGGTAATTTACATTAACCAGAAAAAAGGCTTAGACACAAGCGTCTATCTTTTTAATTTTGAATTTTAATGTAACTATAACAGCAAAAAACATTTCGATTTCATTTTTGCCTTGAAAAAGTCGGAAGACGAAACGCGTCGGCAAAATGTATGATTTTTTTCCAATTGTCATTTGATACCATATATATATATATATATGTGTGTGTGTGTGTGTGTGTGCGCGCGCGTGTGTGTGTTCCCTACTACACCAAACGTTATATTGTGGATACCTATGTTTCAGTAGACGACCTGTTTTGTTTTTCTTTTTTTTTTTTTTTTATCAGTATGAATTACGTTTACCGGCATTTCGAGAAAACGTGATCTCCGGCTGTGTTCGAACGGTCGTCTTTCTTTGTAGGATAAGCCGCCATCTGGTTTGGCGTGCTTTAGACTGCTCGGTCACACAGATTCACACAGACCAGCAAGTTTCAATTACCCTTTTGCAGAATGTACGTTCTCTCGCTCAGACCTTCTCGAAAGCCCAAATCTACTCATTTCTTTATCGCATACCGAAACGTAAAGAAAGTACTTTGCAAGGGATCAAGGGAATTTTTTGTATCCGAAATTATTTCGTTCGTTATTTTGCGGATAATGGTATAATATATATATATATATATATATATATATATATATATATATATATATATATATATATATATATATGTATGTACTTATATGGGTGTACGCTACTGTGTATGTATGCGTGTATATGTATGTACATTTTTGTGTATGAGTGTGTGTGCATTTTGTCATCAGTTTTTCATGAATACAACTAGGATTAAAAGTTTCTGTCTTTTCTCGCTCTTAATTATTTTTTGACCTTTTTACCTTCCATTTCTTTCCTTTTTGTTCCTCTTTTCATTCAAAAGTAGGCCACACGCCGTTTCTCCTTACTTCTCTTGTCTTCACTATATATGCGATAAGACTTCTTTCTTTTTCTTTCTTTGTTTCGTCTCTTTCTGATTACAGTGAGGCCCCCGTCTATTCGCGTTTCAACATTCGCGGCTTCACACATTCGCGGATTTTTCTTTAGAACATATGTACTTGTTATTCGCGGAAACTCCGAATATTCGCGTGTTTTTCTGAAGAACATATGTACAAATTATTCGCTGAGAACCCTTTCGATTCGCGTATTTTTTTCGATAGAACAGATTTAAAATATTCTTGTATTATTTTCCTGTTATTTAAGTGACTTAAAACATATAACAGTTCATTTTTATGGTAAAAATGGGCAGACTTGTACATCTTCATTACAAAAATCAAACGCAAAAACATGCGTAGTGCTTGGGATTTGTTCTTTGTTATGGGGCAACGGCTGGGGGTCTTAAAAGTGGCTTTTAGTTAAGTTTGGTGGCATTATCACAGTTCCGTTTTTAGAAAATGTTTTAAACTTTATATTTTATGTTTTGTTGCACAAATTTTATACAGTATTTTCAATGGTTGTATCGATCTATGCGTAATAAAAACGCTTATTGTACGTATGAAAGAAAATTTACGCTAAGTGTATAGTCACCAATACTATTTTTAAAAATGTTTTTAAAAGGGTCTGAAATGTTTCTAAAGTGTTTAGGATGAACGTTTAAGACATATGAGGTTTTAACAATCAAAATAGGTACTTATAAGCACTTTTAGGTGGGTTACAAGTATCCGCGGATTTTAACTATTCGCGCCGGTTCTGGTCCCTAACTCCCGCGAATACGGGGGACTCACTCTATACGTTTCTTTTTAGTTCCTATTCTGTTTAAGACTTCCCAGTAGGTCACATTTTACACTTACATGGTATTCTCAGCATTCGGGAGAACCACATGTCGCTAAAAGTTTTCTTTTTTCTGCGAAAAGATTGTCCAGTATTCCCTGTTAGACACTTATTCTGCCATTAAACTATTTTCTTCATCTCACCATCCAGCTATTCCTTATGATTCAAAGAAATTCTTTATACCTGTAAGCTTGATGTAAACACGGGATGATGAATAGAAAAACAAAATGAATGAGTGTCTGAATTTGATAAGTTTTGAAGAATCCGTCGCAGAACTTTTCATACCAATGCCATGTTTCTTTACTGAGTCACAGTGTCAACCTTTTAACAGGAGCAGTCATGGAAAAAAAATCATTGGTTCAATTCTTTGCAAATAACCTGTCAGAGGAGCTTACTGATTATTACGCAGTTTATCCATGAATGTGATGCATCCAGTTAGGATCGAACTGACTACACTGTCATCGATCGAACCCAGAACTCTCACCAATCGCGAAGAATAGTTGTTCCCTGAGGGAGGCCCTGCCCCTTGAGCGTCTATTGGGACTTAAACTCAACCCAGACCTCAAGTGGAACGCATACATACAATCCATGCTGGAAAAATGGTCGGGTTCCCTATACCGCTTCAATAACCACCTGATTCCTCTTGCTATTCTCTACAGTTACAAGAGACAGATCAGGACGAAAATTGAGTCCTTCTGCCATATATAATATAGGACTCAATTTTCTCAATATAGGGCGAACTGGAATCTTGTATATAAAACTTAAAGGAAAGATATGCAAAAAAGAAAAAGAATGAAAAAACAATATTGCATTTTTATTAAATAAATAAATATTTGTTATTTTAATCATTAAATTGTTTTTTTTTTTAAATAGCGGGAGTATTTTGTATGTTAAATAATAAAACTTAATTTTTTTTTTAAATTAATGAAAATTTATTGTACTAAACTACACACCCAGAGTAAAATCAACTTTGTACCCCCTTACCTCTTTGCACTTCTTCCCAAAATTTAGTATTGATCATCACTGCATGGCTATTTTCGAGGGTGTGAGGACGGACGGACGGAAGTTACGGAATTTTATATATAGATTCTTTGCTCTTCATTTCGTCGTCGTACTCGGTAAGTTTGTAATTTTGAACCAAACTGGTGGAGAGGGGAGGAGATGGATTCATACCTGTCCCAAAGATATTTGCACGTAAGTTAATGGAATGGACTCGACAGGACTCGGCTCTCTGAGTCCTCCATCTGAGCCGCTATCTATTACTCCACCGTGCCTCTTTTCTTTTTATGTGCCGTCTTCCCTCAGGACGTAGGCGATAATGGCTCTCCACAATTGCCTGTACCTTGCAGCTCTAAATAAATTATATCTTTTTGTTGTTTTAAAAACCCTGTTCGGCCATACATTTTCTCTAACTCATCAAGTATGTTATCCGCTGTTTTCCTTTGTCTCTCTTGCCATCAACCTGTCCCCCTCTGGGTAACAGATTCCCCCCCCTCTCTATGTACCCCAGAATTTTCAACTGTCTCTTCCTTTTTGTTTCCATGTTCGGTCCATGGTATCCTCAGCATCCTTCTTTAAAACCACATTTCTGTGGCTTCAAGTTCCTTCTTTATATTTGAGGTAATTTTCCAGCATTCACTGCGATACAGTAAGACAGATCTCATGTAACAGTTCAGTACACTTTTCTTTGTTTCCAACGAAGTTTTCCTACCTCTTAATTCTCTGCTTAGCTTTTGGAATGCATCTTTGGCTATGCCAATGCGTGGTGATTAGGGGGATTTTATTCACCTACATAGAACTTGTCTGTCTCTTCCACCAAGCCAAAGTATGTGACTTTGTAGTACTACCAGATCCAGGGATTGAACTCACTGTTTTAAAGATAAGAAAGATAGAAATTCTGATAATGTTCTACTTTATATTCCACATGGCGTCGCAATGGCTATACCACTTCATTTGTCGGATACAAGTTCTATTGCACAACATCTAAAAACACATTCCTGTTCAACTTCACAAAACAGGAAAATACTTGTTGACAACAACAATATACTGCAACACGAAAATAATAAATAAAAACCTCAAATACTCGAGGCCCTCTATATCAAAATCAACCAACCAACACTCAACAAAATGTATCAAAAATATAGCAACAACGCAGTAAAATGCATATAACATTTAATACCATTTTACATTTCAACCAATATCTCCCTTGTATTGAAACGTTTGTTTTGCAAAAAAAAAAAAATCAATAACTAAATCGGATCAATTTAAAATTCTAAAACAAATATAACAGAGCGGGTTCGAACGTGTTTTTAAAAATCTCTGATATTCTTATATATCAAGAAGTATATTTTTATATTTTTCCTGATAAAGATATTTCTATCAATATGATTTCTAATTATCGAAACCATTTTTTTTTCAGTGGAATCGTAGTAGTGGACATTGACCTGAACAAAGTACAGATCAACCAGTGTGCAAAAGACGGATCCCTCTTCTCCAATTCACACAAATGCCGACTTGAAACTACAGAGGTAAAACAAAAACAACTTTTATATTCCAAAGTTTTTTATGTAATGCATTTTCTTCTCTTTTTTTACTTCTTCTGAATTTCTTTCTTCTCAAAAATTTAACACATTATTCGGGACGTTCCTGGCAATACATCCGGCAGCAAAACTTCTGACTGGGAGGTTTTGAAGGGCGTGGTACCACCCTTAAATTGCTGGTCCCACGTTCACCTAGAGCCGGAGTGGTAGCAGCTGTTAAGGTCCCAGCTACGGGCAAATAGTGACGCCCCACCCAAACTCGGGTTAAAACATTATGAAAATATAAAAATACATGTTTTAGTAAAAATACCAGCAATATATTTACATAGTTAAATTTACCAGCGGTAAACATTTTCATAGAAAAAAAATGATACTTACACTTCCGAGGAATGTTGTTGTTGTTAGAGGTCTCCCTGTAGAAATTATATTCTCCGAGTAAAACCAAATTCCTGTTTAATCCCCAGTGTGTAATTTTATTTTGAAAATATATTTCAACTCCCATCTGCGTCTTTCTTGTTGACTTTTGAATGAAGAGTGAGTCCCACTGCTTTGTTTATTTCTCGTCTCGTTAAAAAAGGACACAGGTGTGTCCGAAAATTCCGACTTTAAAATCTTTCTCTTAGTGCTTCAGTTTAGTCAAAAGGCTAATATATAATAATTAACATCAATCTTATTGCCAATATTATTATCATTTTGCTGGTTTTTTTATTCCTCAAATTATTCCTCGTTGCGATAGGCAACCAATGCATTTAATGTATTATACATATACAAATACATAAGAGAAACCTCAAGGAATCTAAATAAAAGATTATATGAACACAAAAGGGACATTTTATAAAATAATACATCAAATGCATTGGTAAAGAGACCGACCACAACTTTCAGATAAAAAATGATAACCTGAACAAAGGAGAAAATAATGCACTACGACGTAAATGTCTACAGAGTGTCTTAATCACAATGTCATCTACAATAAATTTCTACCCTGTCTCTTACAACATTCCGCTTTTCCTGACAGATCTTCTAATATCACAGTGTGGAATAACTTCTTACAAAAGTCATGCAAATAAAGAGAAAAAGATTCTAAATGAATTTGGCTGAAGAAAAAATTCTAAAATTCGCAGCACCCCTCTGCCGGGTACATGTTTAATTATATCAATATACCAACATTAGTCTGATGAAGTACTGAAGGACGAAGCACGTCACAAGTAAACTTTATCCACTTTGTCATAGAATTTCCCTAATACAGTACTTGATATATATAAATATATATCGTTATCTCGTTATATATATATATATATATATATATATATATATATATATATATATATATATATACAGACTTAGGAAAATTAAAATTATTTGAAATTATATATATATATATATTTCAAATAATTTAATTTTCATAAGTATATATACTATATATATATATGACGATATATATATATATATATATATATATATATATATATATATATATATATATATATATATATATATATAAGAAAATAAAAATAAAATTATTTGAAAGAAAATTAAATTTTTCTGATCAATTTTCTACAGCCACCAAGAAATTAATTCGTGGAACTTGAAAGGATTAAAACCAAAATAGACATAATACGTTTAAATTATTTAACCAAACATGCTTATATATATATATATATATATATATATATATATATATATATATATATATATATATATATATATAATAAAGTTGCTTAATATCAGATATACTATTTGGGGAATTTTATAATGTTTGGAGTTTACGGGGTGAATTTTATCTGCGTGGAATTCTCATAAAGGTAGGATTTCTTAGATATGCCCTGATTGGAATTTTAAGTTGAATTTTCTATGTGTGAAATTATCCAGTAGTGGAATATACTGAGTTGCTTTTTCATGTATTAATTATTTTTGGTAAGAATTTTCTTGGCTTGGTTCTTCCGCGTAAGAAATTACCCATGAGTGGAATTTTACATAGTTGGCATTTATTATAAATGTTACTTTATCATCCTCTTTTATTGAAACCAATGGAATTAGTAACTACTGGTCCCGACATCCCTACTTGTAAATAAAGAGGTATGTCTACTCAAATGCATTAACGATTTGAAGTAATATAATTATATTAATATCGGTCCTGACCCTGCCTCTTAACTTCAGTTACTTCCCCGCCCACTGTGACTTGGCTTCACTATGTCTTTTCTATAAATATTTTCATAGCAGTTGTTGTAATGAGCTCTCCCTCTTGGTGCATCGACCGCGAGAATTTAAGCATACTACTTGATTGGCTACAGGTGTTTTCTGTTGAACTATCTAAATGTAAACCTAAGTTCTATTCTAATAGGTTTTTTTTTTTTTTTGGTTTTTTTCTCGCACTTCTAACCTCTGGATTTCTCTTACGGTTTCTTGTTTCTCCGCGACATACAATCTTCAAAAAATTATAGGCAACGTCAGCGGACATCTTCTGTCTTCCTGAAACCTGGTCTTTAATTGTCCTTTTTCTTCACTAAAGTCTTAAATGTCTTACCCTCCAGTAATTTTCAGATCGTTGAGTTTTTTAGACGTAAACTATATATATATATATATATATATATATATATATATATATATATATATATATGCCATGGTGCCTACCTAGACCGACAGAATGAACTCCTCCGAACGATATATATATATTACCCCTATCAAGAGAGACGTAGAGTATATCGTTATATATATATATATATATATATATATATATATATATATATATATATATATATATATATACATACAGTATTAGTACGGATTTGATATTGGGACGGTAGTGAATCGAGTCGAGCTGATAGCAGTCACGCCAAACCAGTCGGACAGTCTTACTAACCCTTTCACTTCTTTGTATTATTTCTTGTGTAATATATTCTTTGTTCTTTCTATTGTTGTGTTTCGTGTTGTTCTTCCATGCTCCTAACCTTGGACCATAACAATATATATATATATATCATCATCATCGTCATCCTTCGACCTCCCTATGGTTGGTCGGGACTCCATTGACAATCCCTTTCGACACAGTTCGGTCCTGCATTGCTGTCTCCAGATCCCAAGTATCCAAGCGTTAGTGCCGAGCTATGGTGTCTAGGAAAGTCAATTTTCGTGAGAACTCATATATATATATATATATATATACTCATGTATATGTTCCATCCAGTAGTATTTTAAATATATATATACACTTTGTGATCACTAATCAAATTAACCCGATTAAATCTAAACTAGCGATGACCAATATAGTATATCAATTTCAATGTCCAGTACAAGACGGTGTTTCTTGTCACAAATCAATTACTTACATGGGACACACTACCACCTCCTTGAGTATACACCTTACGTATCACTTATCTAACTATAGTGACTTAAAAACATTTATTAATCCATAATCTATAAGAATACTTAAGGAAAATTTTGGTCAAAAACACAAGAATTCTATATAAATCAGGTTATCAGAAACATCTCGCTATTCGAGGGGCTCTATATATCAAACAATTCTCTCCTACCATCAACCTTACATCATTTAATAGTGGAAATGGAGTGTTAAAAGCTTTTTAAAAATAAATTAATAGAAAGATGCTCACGCGAATTGCAGTCGCGTGCGGGACGTGTGGACTTGGAATGAACGTTTATTTTAAAAAAAAACCCAACTCAGACATAATTTACAACGTAACAGTCAATACATGAGAAAAAAATAACAACTCTAGAAAAGAAACAACCTTGAAAGTAGATATAGAAGTGGCCGAAAGCGCTTGGGACATTAAAAATTATGGACAGTTTTTATATTCCTTAACTTCTACAAAACGGAAAAATTGTTAGGATGCTGGAAAAACTTAATAAAAAAATTAATTCAGTCTTCCCTGTCGGCCGTATTCAATGAAAGATTCTTGAAAGAAATGTTGCTGCCAATATATATATATATATATATATATATATATATATATATATATATATATATATATATATTGTCTATATTTTAACTTAAAATATAGTTAAAAAAAACATTTCATAAATAATTACATATTACAAGTTTATAGACATTAGTTTATTAGTATATACTGATCCACCCAATACGGGTATTTTATTTATTTGGTTTATTCAACTTTAATATTGCCATATTTTGCCGTTTATTCAGTATAATTACCATCGTAAATAGATGTTCCACATTTTTAATTCTATCTATCCCTTTAAGAAGCTTTTTAAATATATAATTTTTTTTAATTTTGTTTCTGATAAATTTATGTCTACTTTAACAAATCAGAACACCATACTTGGCTCCATCCATTATACATTTGTCGTTGACATGTTATATACAATCCTTAGGTGACATGTCTGGTAGCTAGTTTATCGTGACATGAAAAAATAACGCACTCACCTCTGACCTTATTTTTCTTTTTTTAGCGTAGATCTGATTTCAATTGGTTAATCTAGACATACCCTCAAGTATATTTTTAATTCTGACCTTATGTCACCACTTTAACTCCCGAAAGGAGGTAACGATTTGTTTTCAATTTCTTAAATAAATCATTTTTTATCTACCATCGCCTGACGAATCATACAATCATAGTATTGAAACATGAAAGCTTTTGTGTAGCGATTTAAAATGTTTTTATTATAATCTATTATAATAAACGCACACACACACACACACACACACATATATGTATATATATATATGACGATCCGCGTAGGTGAAACCTTAGTAGGTTTGTCTGGCTCTTTAGGTTTAATTAGGTTTGCTCTACTTAGCGTATTGAGCACTTTATTTAGTTATTTTACTTACTCATATCGGTTTTTTTTTCTTTGGACTCTGGACTTGAATCCTAGATGATTATTTTCGGCTGACGTATATGTCCTTTGTTCTTTATTTTTTGTACCTTTTTTCCCCTTTGGTATTGGTTTTGCAAATCAAGACACCTAGTATATATATATATATATATATATATATATATATATATATATATATATATATATATATATATATATATCAATCTTGTAAATATTAGCTAAAATAGAGCCGATAAATGACATCACAATTTACTGTAGCAAGATAAGTAAGAAAAATAGTAAGCAAAAAACACGATCATACATTTATGCTTAAAATGTTTACTTTTTTTGGCAACATGTTTTCAGAATTTTGGATAAGAGATTGTATATCTGTATTTATTTGTATCATTAACACTATTTATTACTTACCTTTTACCTTTTTTTTTCTTTCTCTTCAACCAGTGTGTTGCAGTTCCAGTGATTGGCAAATTCAAACGTGGTTCCTATCGATGCCAATGCAAACCAGGTTATTATTTCCCGACCCTAAACGCGAGCCACAATTATTTCAACGGCACACTGGTGGAGAACCAACTGCTGGAACGACTTAGGAACGGCAGCACCCAGGCAGACCCTTTGTCCGATTCTTTTCAATGTCAGCCTTGCCGAAAGGGTTGCCCGAACTGCGTCAGCGACCAGCCGTGCTTTGTCGAGTACAATATCCTGCTACGGGGTATACCGCTTGGAATACAGAGTTTTTGTATGACAATCACAATAGTATTGGCTCTGGTCATCTTCCGGCTTCGTAAGTCTAAGGTAAGTTACTATGTGAGCTCTATTAATCTGGATTTCTTTTTATTTGGATTTTTGAGGATCTGTGCAATCAAGTAAAAAAATAACTCTACAGAAAAGAACATTAGTGAACGAGAAGTCGGCAACAATTAACATATACGCTAGTTTAGGAATAGGTGTAGCATAGAAATACATATGGTATGGAAGCCATTGATAATTAAAGAAAGACGTAACCGTAAGTTCTATGCTAACAGTTTCTTCTCTTGCACCTCTTACTTGTGGAACTCTCTTTCGGCTTCTTGCTTCCCGGTCAACTTTAATCTTGAAAAAAATTAAATGTAATGTTAAATGTTATCTTCTGCCTGCTTAATTCCCATTCTTTTATTGTTTTCTCTCCTTAATTGTATTTTTCTCCTATTCTCTAATTGGTTCACTCGTTTCTCTTACCTTGCTTGGCAGCCAGTCTAATAGAAGGAGAACTTTGAATTAAAATCTGAGAAGGCCTGTTTGGGGTCTTCAGGGAAAAGGGTAGCCTATTTCTGTGTTGTTTCTATGTAAACAGTCACCAAACTTTGAATGTAGTCTGGCGGTCTGTAGAACTCCTATCCAGTAGTAATGGATTCCACTATATATATATATATATATATATATATATATATATATATATATATATATATATATAAATGAGCACTGAAGTCAACACTTAGAGCCTCTGAGCGTTGACTTTTATATTTATATTTACATACGCTCTATCTCTGATATTGAGCACTTTTATCCCATAAATTGGCACAGCTTAAAACTATATTTCTTCATATATTTCTAATATATATATATATATATATATATATATATATATATATATATATTAGGTGACCTGACGATTGCGTCTAGCATGAAACAGACTGTCGCCTCTAAGTGTTGACTTCAATGTTCACTTTTATATTTACGCACGCTCTATCTCCGATATTGAGCACTTTATCCCATAAATATATCACACCTTAAGACTATATTTCTTCACATATGTGTGTGTGTGCGTGCGTGACTGTGTGTGTACAGTTTATACGTTATTTTTATAGATACAATTTATTTAAGTAAATGCATTGTTTTTAATGAAACAGTATTAATTAATTATATTTGCCGGCCTGAATGTTCGAGAAATTTCGTAGAAAATATGCGTTATCTGACAGGAATCGAACCTGCACTCCTAAACGGAAACTGTCATTTGACTTGACATTTATAAACAGAGAAGCGTCTGGTTAAGTCCCAAAGTACTGTTTATGAACACACAATTTCCGTGTAGGAATATAGGAATAGGAATATAAACACACAGGTTTCCGTATAGAAATACAGGTTCGATCCCAGTCGGAGAACGCATATTTCCTACGAAATTTCTCGAAAATTCAGGTCGACAAATATAATCAATACTGTTTAATTAAAAACAGAATTTACTTAAATAAATTGTATTGATAAAAAATAGCGTATAAAGAGAAAATATACTAAATAACAATCAGTCTTAATCCATTTCATTATATATGTTGTCATATATATATATATATATATATATATATATATATATATATATTATTTAAAAATATGATTCAATGCTACATAAGAGTTCTCATGTTTCAAAACAAGAGCCTGAACTTCAATATAATTATTTGAATCAAAGTACTAAGCTCTGTTCCATCTTCAAAAATTTTTTGGGAATCCCCAAAAATTTCGGTTGAAGATGGAACAGGGCTTAGTACTTTAATTCAATTTAATTCAAATAATTATATTGAAGTTTTCGGCTGTTGTTTTGAAACATGAGAACTTTATGTAAGCGGGTTGGAATCATATTTTTTAAATAAATAATTATTTTTATGCTCTACTTTTGTATCGAGCACTATTTTTTAAAATAATAACAAAATACTAAAGAACTTTGGATTATTTACCTAACGAGTTCTTTCCTATTTTCTATATATTTTTTTCACACACACACACACACACACACACACATATATATATATATATATATATATATATATATATATATATATATAGAGAGAGAGAGAGAGAGAGAGATTTCATTGAGGATAACTGAAAGGGCCCTGCGATTAAGTTTTTTATTATATTTTACTTGCATTCGTATATGCGATTTTTTTTTTGAGACACCGGATGTGTAAAAAACTGTTCAAATGATCTTTGGCTTCGAAAGCTTTCGGATAATCTATTAGCCATTATCAAGGATGCTTGATCCTTGATATGTAGATTTTGTTGCTATTTTTTAGCAATAGAAATGTTTTAATTCGTGAATACGGTCAGTACATTGTGGTCGTGTTTATAATTAATATTATTAAGTGTTTGGCTTTTGCTATTTTTTTATTATTAAAGCTTCCTTTATTTATAAGCGTTTTCTGCAGTGAGATGAGTATATTGTGCTGGTATTTTCTACGAGTTTGTTGCGGATAAAGATTGATAGATCTCGGTGTGTATTTAAATAAATCCTAATGAACCCATGATCCGAGAGGTCCCAAATAAGTTTTCTTGATAGGCATGTAGTTGTGTGTCCGATGTCATTATTATACATGAATTTGGTTTCGTCAGGAACGCAGTTACATAAGGGTTATGTAGATTCATAAACAATGTTAGTCCGCTTGTTGTTGATAAGGTTAGGTGTTTTAAATTATTTATAATAAATAATCAACATAATCTTCTTGTTCTAGTCGAATGGGGTTGTGTGTTTCTTAAGAATGTTTCTAAGAGCAAATTAACACGGCCAGAGTGTGCTGAATTTCCATTGCTAAAAATAATTACGATCACAATCTACATATTAAGACAAAAACACAAAAACTTTGTCAGTGGCTAATACATTAGACGAAAGTGCTTGGGGCCAAATATCATTTGGACAGTCATTGCACTATTTATGTCCAAAGATGAAATCTCTTGTACGCATGCAAGAAAGATATTATAAAAACTTAATCAGTCATCTTGCATAAAAGATAAATTGCTGCCCAAATACAGAATATATGTACTTGACTCTCTCGTCATTTCCAAAGTATGTTGGTCAAGCGATTCACTTCTTAGAACCAACAACCAGATTACCTGCACATATCATTTGATTATAGTATCATATATCAGCACTATAATCATATATATATATATATATATATATATATATATATATATATATATATATATATATATATATATATATATATATATATCCCGGTGTAACAGCAAAATTGTCCGATTGCTGGATGAAGTTTTGAACCGTTGTATCTTAGAAATGATTCAAGATATCTTACTTGAATTCTTCGAGGTTTTTATAACGCTATGAGACTCTAATTCGAACAATAAGAATGTATTTAGTTCTAAATTGAAATGATGATCCCTCTTGCTGCTGTGACCTCCTGATCCAGTTTACCTCTCTACTGTTCCCTCTTTTTTAAACTTATTCACCGTTCTCTTGATGGTTGAACGCCTGAATGATATTTTTCCTCTCACCACTGCTCAGTTGGGAAGATATAGTGGAACGGACACAAAATGATTTAACCTATTCACTTTCTAGATGAATAACTCAAATGGTTTTTCAGTGACTCTTACAACAAATGTCGTTAAGATGGCTAAACGTCTTATCTGAAAACCTGGAAAAAGAAACTCATTTTTTTGTGTTTTTTAGTTATTAAACATTTTGTGGATGAACAATTATCTTGCATCCTTATACCTATAGGAAAGGCATGACTCCATCTCTTCTAAAAGCTATGTGCAAATATTAGGTCTGGCTGAGTCCTATAACCTTGGAACGTATATATATATATATATATATATATATATATATATATATATATATATATATATATATATATATATATATGTTATTTTAGGATATAAAAACAAAAACATGTTAAAAATCGCTACACAATTACAATTATGCAATTATGTTTCAACACTAAAATAAATAATATTTAGCTCTACTTTGTATTGAGCCCTCTTTTAAATTAAACGTTACGGACAGTGGAATTATACACTATTTTTCTATTTTTCTCATTTTTGCCTATCTATCTATCTATCTATCTATCTATATATATATATATATATATATATATATATATATATATATATATATATATATATACTATATATATATATATATATATAAATATGCTATATGCAATTTATATAAATATCGTCAGGCCATCGTGTGGCCTGACGATTGCATATAGCATGAAACAGACTGTCGCCTCTAAGTGTTGACTTCTATGTTCACTTTTATATTTACACACGCTCTATCTCTGATATTGAGCACTTTATTCCATAAATATAGCACACCTTAAGACCATATTTTTTTATATATATATATATATTTATATATATATATATATAAATAGGCTTAAACACTAATATTCCATGGTTATAATTTATTACATTGGAATCGTAATCAAATAGACCTACAAATTCAAAAAGGAATTTTGTTTTTTATACCCGGAGTGATATTTTCCGATTTCTTTTTGAATTTGTAGGTCTGGTGAATTGGATCGTGATTACGATTCCAATGTAATAAATTATAACCATGGAATATTAGTGTTTGAGTCTTTTATATTATATTCTTACTCTGTCCTGGGCATTGAGTTCTATCTGTATTATATTCTCTTGGGAATTTATATATATATATATATATATATATAATTATAAATTAACTGATTTAAAATATGGTTTTTCGCTACACAGTAATAACCATGTTTCAAAAATGGAAGCTGAAAACTTCAAATTTAATTTGAGGATGAAATGGAACTTTAATTTAATTACAAAATTAAATTCGAAGCTATTAGCTTCCATATTTGAAACATGGTTATTACTGTGTAGCAAAGACATATTTTAAATCAGCTAATTTATAATATTAATGCTCTGTAAATTTACATTGAGCAGTATTTTGTAAAAATAAAAATATCAATAAGAACACCGGATTATATATCTTACTTCTTTCTTTTTTTTTTTTATATATATATATATATATATATATATATATATATATATATATATAT